GTCTCAGAGCGGCTTACAAACTCCTTTCCCTTCCCCTCCCCACAACAGGCACCCTGTGGGGTGGGTGGGGCTGAGAGAACTCTGACACAAACTGCTCTTTTTCAAGGACAGCTGTGCCAGAGCTTGTGACTGACCCAAGGTCACATCAGCAGGTGCAAGTGGAGGAGTGGGGACTCAAACCCGGTTCTCCCAGATTAGAGTCCGTGCACTTAACCACGACACCAAACTGGCTCTCAGGAGCACGAACGTGATCCTGCTGGCTCAGACCAGAGATACACCACGTCTGGTGTTCTGTTTCTGAAAGTGACCAACCGGGTCTTCTGGAATGCTCACAAGCAGGGCAGGCAGCTGATGGCCCTCAGCCTCTGAAGCCTCCTTGGTTGTTTCACATGATCGGGCTACGGTCAGATGTGCCCAGCCGGATTACTCTAAGATGCTCCGCTTGGGGCTGCCTTTGAAGAATGCCCAGAAACATCAGCAGGCCCCAGAATGTGACCGCAAAGGTTGCAGGTAGAGCCTGCAGAGACGACTGTGATGCACCAGTGCTATGTTTGGTGTAGTGGTTAAGTGCACAGATTCTAGTCTGGGAGAACCGGGCTTGATTCCCCACTCCTCCACTCGCAGCTGCTGGATGACCTTGGGCAAGACATAGTTCTGGCAGAGCTGTTCTCTCAAGGACAGTTCTGGAAAGAGCTCTCTCGGCCCCGCCTACCTCACAGGGTGTCTGTTGTGGGGAGGGGAAGGGAAAGGAGATTGTAAGCCGCTCTGAGACTCCTTTGGGGAGTGAAGGGCGGGGTATAAATCCAATCTCTTCTCTTCTTCTTCTTTTACCTCACAGGGTGTCTGTTGTGGGGAGGGGAAGGGAACGGAGATTGTAAGCCGCTCTGAGACTCCCAGTGAAGGGCGGGGTATAAATCCAATTTCTTCTTCTATGTCTAGTCTGCTGGTTGCTGGTTAGTTTCTGGTCCCCAATACAAATTACTGATATGGAGTTCTAAAACTCTAAATGCTTTGGGACCAGGGACCAGCTCTACCTGAGTGAGCCTCCTGAAACTGCCATAGTTGAGGCTGGCAAGTATGCAGGACAGGACTCCACTGTGGCCTCTGGAATTCCTTCCCTGGAACATTTTCCCTACCTTCACTCTTTGCCTTCTGGAGCCTGGCTAAGACTGTTCTGTTCCAAAGGCTGGTTTTATCCCCTGACGTGCTGCTGTTTTGATCTGTTCCAGTGGCTTTCTGATGCTGTGATTTCTTATTGATTGCTGGTTTCAATTGTTGGTATGGCTGTTTTGTATGTGTTTGCTGTTGTTGGGTACCTGTTGTCTTGGATTTCCTTGTAAAAAATTCCCTTCTGGCACGCTTTGGATGGTCTTTAATAACAGAAAGACAGGATATAAATTTTCCAAATAAATACTAAGCAAATGAACAAAACCTGGCAGATCTTTCTGTGTATTCATTCTGTTACTTTTGTCCCCGTCAGAGACCAGTAAGTCTGACAGTGCTCCGCGGAGGGGAAAGAATGCACCTGGGACTCACACCCAAACGCTGGACTGGCAAAGGACTTCTGGGGTAAGCGTCCCAAAAATCTCTTACCCAGGGCTCTTTTTGCAGAAAAAGCCCAGCAGGATCTCGTTAGCATAATAGGCCACACCCAACAGCAAAACTAATTAGCATATTAGGCCACACCCTGACCGCACCACTCATTGGCACATTAGGCCACACCCCCATGTTACCAGAAGTGTGCTCATCCAGCCACACCCACCTTTTGCTTGTTATTCTTTTTACCTTGTTTGTTGTCAGAACCCAGGGCCTTTTTTTGTAGCAGGAACTCCTTTGCATGTTAGGCCACACAAACCTAATGTAGCCAGTCCTAATGAGTTTCTGCTGTTGGGTGTGGCCTATTATGCTAATGGGTTCCTGCTGGGCGTGGCCAACTCAGGATCCAGCCGGAACTCCGTTCCTGTGAGTTCCTGCCCAAAAATAGCCCTGCTCTTACTCAGTTTCAGGGGGCAGCCGTCTTGGTCTGCGGTAGACCAGCTGGTTTAGAATCCAGGCGCACCTTACAGACCAGCAAGATTTGGTCTTGTGTTGTTCTTAATCGTTCAAAATACATCAGGTAACTCTTTGACTCTCAGGGTGTGTTCAGACGCGCCATTTGATCTGGTGTCGTGTCAGTTTAGAAACGGATTTTATACGTGCGATCACACATCTGCCTCTCCCCAGCCGTCGCTTTCTGGCTCAAACCCTCTTTAAACTGGAGTATTTTGTTACCAGGTCCCCAAGTGGTGTTTTCCTGATTCGCCGTTTCCAGCTGCATTTTCCCCCTGTGTGATCGCTCCTCTGGTCTCAAGCTACTTCTGGTTTAAACCCCCTCCCCGCTCGAAAGCTGCCCGAGGCTTCCACTTTTCGCCCACCATTTTTTTAAAACGTTGGCAATGTGCGCATAGGTGGAGCTCCGCCACCGCATTATTAAAAACAATGTTTAAACGGTGCCTAGTTTTAGCGTTTAGATGAATTCGGGATCTTACGGAGGCCATTTTCGGGGTAAACGTTTAAAGGGAAGTGTTACAGCAGTCAGGTTGAAGTGGAAATCGCTGTCCTGCGCACACACAAAAATTTTAGTTCTACAGATGGCTGCCTGTGCGCATGCCCAAACTGAGAGAGAGAAAAAACCAACACCGACGCATGCTCCCGCGTGTGAACAGTGGGGAGCGATGCGGCTGCGCAGCGATCTGGAGGAGGGAGGTGAGTGTGATCGCGATTCTCCAGGCTAAAAAAACCCCGCATTCTGGGCCGGAGCAACTTAAACCGCTCCCAGCACGCCGTCTGACCGCACCCTCAGAAGCTCATACCCTGAAAATGATGAGAGTCTCTAAGATGCTGCTGGCTTTTCTCTTACACAGCTTGACACCACTGCACTCTGCTTCAATGAACAGTCCTGAATTTCTGCCATTCTTTTTTTTTTTAATTTAAAGTTCATTGAGTTCGTATTTAGTAGGACTATTTCATACAATATGTACAATTTATACTCTTTCATAGGCTTTCCCCCCTCCCTTTTTTTCTTATTCCCATATCCTACCCGTTTAAAAAAACCACCCTCAGAGTCACATTCTAATAATTAATACATCTTCATTTGATTATTCATTCATTATTACCCCTTCAGTCTTCTAACTCCTGTCTTCTATACCTGAAAAGAGAGCTGGACAGAAGGTGGCGTGGATTGGAGAACCTCCCGGGGACTGAAAGTAGTCCTCTTGTCAAAGTAATTCCCTCTTGTCAGAGCCAGTTTGGTGTCGTGCTTAAGTGCACGGACTCTAATCTGGGAGAACCGGGTTTGATTCCCCACTCCTCCACTTGCACCTGCTGGATGACCTTGGGCAAGCCGTAGTTCTGATAAGAGCTGTTATTGAAAAAGAGCCGTTTCACTCAGAGCTCTCTCAGCCCCACCTACCTCACAGGGTGTCTGTTGTGGGGAGGGGGAGGGAAAGGAATTCATAAGCCACTCTGAGACGCCTTTGGGTAGTGAAGGGCGGGGTATAAATCCAATCTCTTCTTCTTATTTATTTATTACTTTCGGCTTCTACCCCACTCGAACCCCCTAGGGGGTCTCTGAGCGGCTTACAGTTACTCTGTTATCCCTAACTATGGCCACATCTGAATTGGGGTGGGGACTGCCCTACCAGCACCCTGTAGATGGCGCTGTTGTTCTTCTTGATCTTAGTTCGGCATGTCGGCCCCCTTCTTCTTGGGGGAGGCACACCCTCCACCTCCTTGCCATGCCCTCTAAGTATTAACTGCTTTTTTTTATATTAAACACCACTTTGTTTACTATTGATAAATAATTGCCCCTTCGGATATAATTCTAAATTTCCTTCTTGTTCTCGTTCAATTGCTCTCAGCAAAATCTGTTATACTAATAGCATACTCAGACTGTCCTTTCATAGTTTCTGCCATTCTGTGGTTCTGTCTCGAGTCACTGCCAGTGCTTGGAATCCACATAACGCCTTTCAGTGTGTACGGAATGTTGTATGTCTTGAGCCAGGGATGCATCACTTTTACAGTACCACATTAAGGTAGCTGGTTGCCCCTGGCTGCCTTTCTGTTTCTTCCCAAGGGCCCTTTTGCAAGACCAGTAACTGATAGTTACTGCTCGCAAGGCCACCAGCTGCGTGCGTCAGGTGCTCCATGCAGAGTAAAACGTGAAGCGTCCTGGGACAACTCTTAGTTGTGAGCTATTTAGATATTTACACCCTGCTTATCTACCCAGTGGGGACCAAAAGCCACTTACAGCCTCTTTCTCTCCATTTCATCCTTACAGCATCCCTGCAAGGTAGGTTAGGCTGAGCAACATTGACTGGCCCAGGGTCACCCAGTGGACTTCAGGGCAGAGTCAGGATTTGAACCCGAGTCTCCCAGATCCAAATCTAACACTCCAACCACCACACCAAGCTGGCAGCTGAAACTTTGCACGTGGCTGTTGAATATGTACAGTCCTTTGGCCACAAGGTGGTGTTTGTAGGATTTTCACGCGGCCTTCCCAGTGGTTATGGGCCAATCAAAGACAACTCCAGACTCAGGAATATTTGAAAGGACATCCTTGTCCCATACGAACCTGTCTACCTGTTGAGAATGGTTGTAGGGGCCTCCATTTTCTTGAGTTAGGCAGAGATTAGCCGGAGGCAGGGCCTTTGTGGTGATGACCCCTGTTCAAAGAATACGCCCCATAGAGACGTTAGCTGGACATCATCTCTCTTGCCATTAATATCCCCAGTTCAGTCAATTGAATTTGCTAAGGCATTTGGTAAATTCTTTTTATTTGTCCGTTTGGTTTTTGCTGTAGTTGGATTTCAGTTGGAGTATTCATGGTGTAACCTACTGGGTGTGTGGAGGGGGAACCATTGAAAGGCCCAGCATGGTCTAGTGTTTAGAGCAGGGGTGGCCAAACTTGCTAAACGTAAGAGCCACATAGAATAAACGTCAGATGTTTGAGAGCCGCAAGACATGAACAAATATTACAAACGTTTTTTTAATTGAAAAATATGCACATTTACTTTTATTAATATTAAATTGATAACTTTAGATGGGGAGGGAGGAGAGAGAGAGAGAGAGAAAGGTGAAAAGAAAGAAAGTGGAGAGAAAGCAAATAGATGGGGGAGGGAGGGAGAGATGGAAAGAAAGCAACTTTAACGTTCAATGTGTTCTCCAAGCCCCCCTGCTCCCGCGCCGGCTGGCTTGGCTTGGAGAAGGGATTTAAAGAGACAAATGCCTTCTCCAAGCCGGCTGGCGGGGGGGGGGCTTTGAGAATGCATTTAATGTTCGAGTTGCTTTCTTCCTCTGCACTGGCTGGGGAAGGGAAGACCAGTTGGGGAGGCACGCCTCCCCTTTGCTTCCCCAGCCACTGCAGCAGGAGCCGCACAATATGTGTGAAAGAGCCGCATGTGGCTCCCAAGCCAAAGTTTGGCCACCCCCGGTTTAGAGTGTCAGATGAGGGCTAAGTACAAATCCCCTCTCTACCCTGAAATTCACTGGTATCCCTTGGGCTAGTCACTCCCTACCTGTCTAGCCTACCACATAGGATCGCTATTAGAAAAAGTGGAGTAAAAGAAAACATATTTAAAATATTTCACAGGTGGCACTGGACACCAGATAAAATAGCAAAATGCTATTTAAATGGAAATAGAAATTGTTGGAAGTGTAAAAAAAATGTCGGCACGTATCTACACATGTGGTGGAGATGTGAAAAAGTACAAAAGTATTGGGGTAAAATATTTAAAATTGTGAAAGAAATAACAGCACTTGAAATTCCATTTATACCAGAAGTATGTTTATTAAATATGTTTCCAGAACAATGTAATAAGGAAAATATACATATAATAACATATATTTTTACAGCGGCTAGAATAATGTTAGCAAAATGCTGGAAATCAGATATAACACCCTCAAAAGAGGAACTGATAGAAAAACTGTTAAGGTTGGCTGAAATGGATAGGTTAAGCCTGATGTTACAAGGGAAGGACCAGGAGGTATATGAAAAGAGATGGGAAAAACTGTATATATGGTTGAACAATACGATGTAAAAAAGTGACTCACAGAAATATAAATGTAAAACTGCTAAAGGCTGTGTATAATGTTGGAAAATTATAAATACAAATTTAAAAAAAAGAAAAAAGAAAAAGTGGAGTAGAAGAGGTACACTAGTCAGAGTTCCTCGAAGGAAGACGGGTAAGATAAAAATGTGAACTAGACCTGAGTGTAGCAGAAAAGTAGGACATGAATATTGTTAAGCGAACAACAAAAATTAGTCCAGACTCGAGGTCTGACATTTTTGATAGTCCTGAACATGCAAATGTGTGATGTCCTTTGGTGACCCATTTTTCCTCCCTGCATGTTGTATAACATTTTTATTTCATTGGTTGTTGATGCATTTGGCTTTCCTAAGGAATGAAAGGTGGATTGTATATTTTAAACAAAGGAATTCCTATTTCTCTTTTCTCAAGTTGCAACATAGTTCCTTTGCAAAGATGATTTCCAAGGGCAAAACCTGCAAACCTGTTGGTATTTTGTTCTTAATGAGACAACCATACATCTTGACAAGGAAGCTGGAATACCGGAAATGAAACCTGAGGTGCTGTTGTCGACTGCTGAGGAGGTTTCGACAGCTATGCACAGTTGTGATTTGCTGATTCACAGGATTAGCGTGCATTCGCTTTGCATCTTTGACCCCTCGGGTGTAAATAAAATGCAAAAAACCCCTGATCTTGTGGTTTTATTTTTGGCAACTCATTCTACAACCTTGTTATCCTTTCCTGTTTATTTAGTAAGGCAATGTTAGTCCTCATAGTGTGTGTGTCCCCCCCCCTTTCCCTTTCTTTTCCTTCATTGTAGACATTTCGGGGGGGATTCATTTTCAGAACTCTGAAGTGTGCCAGATCGGTATTGTGTTTTGTATTTCCACTGAGGCACTCTCAATAAAATTTACGATTTAGACCCATGTATTTGTGCAACGTATTAAATACGATTTTTTTTTAAAAAAACGTATGTAGTTATGTGACATTTTACATGCTTCCGACAGATGGCTTATTCTTGCTTTTCTTGCTCTATTAGATCTCAGTAGCTGTCTTATGGAGCTGCGGTGGCTCAAGTGGTTAAGACGCTGAACTGCAGGCTGTGGAAGGTCAGTAGTTCAGCAGTTTGAGACCCGAGTTGCCACATGACAGAGTGAGCTCCCGTCTCTAGTTCCAGCTCCTGCCAACCTAGCAGTTCGAAAGCAAGAAATTGCAAGTAGATAAAGAGGTACCACTTCGGTGGGAAGGTAACAGTGTTCCGTGCGCCTCGGTGTTTAGTCATGCCAGCCACATGACCACGGAAACGTCTTCGGACAGCGCTGGCTCTTCGGCTTTGAAACGGAGATGAGCACTGCAACCCTAGAGTCGGACTCGACTGGCTTTCGAGCAAGGGAACCTTTACCTTTAGCTGCCTTATACCAAGTCAGGCTCTCGGTCCCTTGAATCCAGGGTTGTCTCTTCTTGGTTGGGTCTCAAGGCAAGCAAGGTTTCCCCCCACACTAGCTCCCTGAAGGATGTGTTGCACAACTGAACTGCGATCCCTCCTTTAGCAATTTGCAGATTTGTTGTAAAATTCTCCTTTTGCTAATACAGAGCTATTGAAGTGAATGGGAATGCCTTCTTGATGAGGGTTTTCTCTGTGTACCCTACAGTTCTCTTCCTGCAGTGAATCATCTGTCCTTGCTATTCTGCAAATGGGTAAGATCAACAATGTGCCCGTACATTCTTTGTTGTGGCCCTAACTTATGGGAAGGTCTGCCTTTAGAGGTCAGGAAGGCTCCAACGCCTGGCTTTTTGTAGACTGGGCAAAACTGAATAATTGTGGGCTTTGTGCACTGAAAGAAAGGCTGTACAGTAACAAAATTATTCAGAAAGACGGGGTAAAGGATTAGTATGGACGGGGGTATAGTCTAGTCCAGGGGTGGCCAAACTTGCTTAACGTGAGAGCCACATAATATAAACATCAGATGTTTCAGAGCCGCAAGACATGAACAAATATTACACACGTTTTTACTGGGAAATATGCAAAAAAAAACCACAGTTACAAATTCTATGTTCCCTCTAAGGTGTGGAGTCTTGTGAGCAAAAATTCGACTTGGTGAGCTACTGGCATTAAAGTTGTGAGTGAGTGATTTGGCTACTGCATAAATTAGTTTGCTCTGGAGCCCTCCTTCCTGAGCAAAGACAAAAATGTGTGAGCCGGAGGCTAAAAAACAGTGAGCTACCTCACACTAACTCAGCTTAGAGGGAACACTGGTTACCATCAATCCGGAATATCGGACTGGCCCGCTCTGAGCCTCACTGGCGAACATCTGGACCATGGGGCTGATTTTAAGATATGAAGACAGAAGGAATGCAGATGCAACGCCATTCATCTTAAGGCTACTCTGCTGTAGCGAGCACTTTATCGTTAAGATTGTTTTTTAAGGGATTTTAATATTTTTATTGTTTTATTTGCATCAGCCTGTCGGCCGTCTCCTGTAAGCCACCCAGAGCCTGTTCACAGGGTGGGCGGGGTATAGATGTAAATATAAATAAAAATAAATTTGTTTTTTATTAACATTAAATGAGACTGCCAAAAATAATAACGAAAGCAGTAAAAGCGGATATTGACAATTATGTTTATTTGTCCAATAATATTTGTTTGCTAATGATGATTATATTCCCCAGCCGCCCTGCCGGGAGCCGCACAACATCTGTGAAAGAGCTGCGTCCGGCTCCCGAGCCACAGTTTGGCCACCCCTGGTCTAGTCTGTATCTGTTGCTGTAAGTAGGCTCCTGCTGTGTAATGACTATTGACCAAGATGTTCATGTTGTTGTTCAGTCGCACAGTCAAGTCCGACTCTTCGCGACCCCATGGACCAGATCACGCCAGGCCTTCCAGTCTTCCGCCGTCCTCTGAAGTTTGCTCAACTTCATGTTCGTTGCACCTATGGCACAGTCTAACCATCTCGTCCTTTGCCGTCCCCGTCTTCTTTGACCTTCAGTCTTTCCCAGCATCAGGGTCTTCTTCTCCAGGGAGTGCTCCCTGCTAATTTGGTGGCCAAAGTATTTGAGCTTCAGTTTCATTATCTGGCCTTCCAGGGAACAGTCAGGGTTGATTTCTTTTAGGATTGACTGATTTGATCTTCTTGCAGTCCAAGGAACTCTCAAGAAACTTCTATGACACCATAGTTCAAAAGAATCTATTCTTCGGCGCTCGGCCTTCGGTTAAGATGTTCATAGTGGCCTTAAATTGCCCGCACCTCAATCAATGTGTGCCTCCCCTGCTGTCTGTTCTCACAAGAGCTCAAAGCCCATGTCCACCTTTGCATGAACTGCAATTCAGCCTCTATCAGAGGCTTCCCCAAGATCCCAGACAAATGGGAGTGACCAGCTAAGCCAGGGGTCCCCAACGTGGTGCCTGGGGGAGTCATGACATGAACATGTGAAGCTGCCTTCCACTGAATCAGTCCCTCAGTCCATCAAGGTCAGGATTGTCCACTCAGACTGGCAGCGGCTCTCCAGGGTCCCAGACAGAGGTCTTTCTCATCACCTACTGCCTGAGCCTTTTTAACTGGAGAAGCCGGGGATTGAACCCGGGACCTTCTGCATGCCAAGCAGATGCTCTGCCACTGAGCCGTGGCCCCTCCCCAAGACATCTTCTGACACCTTTCCTAGCACCCACCTTTTAGAAAGTGGGTGGGCCTTTTCCCTGGACAAGCTTCTGATTGGTCACTGGAGATTTGAATGGCTGTAGAGATTTTTTTAAATGTCCCTTTGACAGCAGCTGCCAGCACAACCCAAGGATCTTCACGGTGTGTCTGGAGGTAAGCTGTGGCAGCCATTTTGTGGCTGCACACGCCATGCTGTATCAGAACTCCAGTGGTGCCTGCAGGCTCAAAAACATTGGGGACCCCTGAATAAAGCCATGTAAGGAATGAACTCTGACCTGCAGAATTAGGTGGTACTCTGAAGGGGCTGGGTAGCCTGTAGTGCTTCAGGATACAGGTGGCAGATGGGTGTTTTGATCAGTGTTCCCTCACCTGAAAAACTCCCTGCAAGTAAAATACTAGCCCCTCAGGGAGAAAAGTGCTAATCCGGCCTAGTCCCTGCTGTGCTACTTTTCTTCTTGCAGGGAGACTTATAAACAAATGGGAACATCTGAAAATGTGCCTATCTAAGCCGCCCTGAGCCCGCGTGCGGGGAGGGTGGGATATAAATGTAATAAAATAAATAAAATTAAAATGTGATTTCTCCACCCTTCTTAAATGGGATATTGACTACCACATATTTAGCTCATTTTGTGTTGTGGATAGGAAGGTATCTGACATCTGTTTTTTGTCAGATGGAAGGAAGTTCATTGTGTATTGGCTTAAATGACTGAGAGCCACAAGGGAGGCAGAAGTTAGGTTGCCAACAGGCCTGGAGAAAATATCGTATTCCTTTAAAGGTAAAGGTTCCCTTGCTCGAAAGCCAGTCGAATCCGACTCTAGGTTGCGGTGCTCATCTCCGTTTCCAAGCTGAAGAGCCAGCGCTGTCCGAAGACGTTTCCGTGGTCATGTGGCCGGCATGACTAAACACCGAGGCGCACGGAACGCTGTCCCCTTCCCACCGAAGTGGTCCCTATTTATCTACTTGCAATTTCTTGCTTTCGAACTGCTAGGTTGGCAGGAGCTGGAACTAGAGACGGGAGCTCACTCCGTCATGCGGCACCCGGGCCTCGCCCTCGAACTGCTGGACTACTGACCTTCCACAGCCTGCAGTTCAGCGTCTTAACCACTTGAGCCACCGCAGCTATTCCTTTAATAAAGGCTTAATGTGGTAGAAATGGACAGCTGAACCTGGCATGAAGGTAAATAACATCACTTGGTAAGTAACATCCCATCAAGTCTCCATTAAAGGCTCAGTTGGTGTTTTCTCTAGGCAGGTGTCGACCCGAGGCAGAAGCAACCTTTGCAGAGGCTGACATTCTTTCCTGTATGTGGCCACGAAAGGCCTGCGTGCCCTACCGCCCTCCTCACAGTTCTTAGAAAGGGAATTTTCACTCGGGGAAGGGGGAAATGGAGAGAAGTGTAGTCCCAAGGACACCTTTCGACCGAGCAAAGAGGCACTTTGGAACTTCATTTCATACCATAAAGCAGTCTCACGAGCAATGCTTTGTAACAGTATCTGTCATTTCCAGAAATCTGGCATTAGTGTTTAAAAATGTCCAGGTTTCCAAAAAAAAAAAAGATGCTCTCACAGGTCTGTCAGTGATTCTCTGAACAAAACTGGTGCAGGGAATAAATTAAAAAGGACACCTGACTGGGGGGGGGGGGGTTTTTGGGTTTATTTGTTG